TCTGCAAGGGTGGGGGTGATTCTGCCACCCCTCCTAACTTGGTGCCCGGTATGGGTGCCCTTCTCGCCCACCCCTAGTTATACTGCCTCAGATCAGATATCTGTATGTTCAGTCATTATGTCCACTGTGTGCTGTCACCATGTCTACTGACTGACATTCGTTCATATGTCTGTGAATTTCAAAAATCCTTATAATTAACTGAGACCTAGGCTATGCTATAAAAGGTTTACTGGTTTAGCTGTATTGGCAAAGCCTCTTAAGGCCGTTCTGTTGGCAGAAGGGAGGGAATTACCATATGCTTTATATCAGTTGCCCAATTAAAAAAGGTGTACCAGCAAAAGCTCTGGTATACTAATATAACTGTCCACACTAAAGCTTTTATAACCCCTCTTCACATAATTTTGAGCTAAAATATTCTGTGGTGTTCTGCCTCCAGCTGATTTTTTTAGAGAATTTCAGCCAAAATGGTTCAATCATTTCTGAGAATGAGGCTAGGGGGAATGTATTCTGGTCACTTTTTGAAAGCCTCTATTTCCCTCATGCTTTGAAATTGGGCTGGGGGAGAGTGAGGCCTTTGTATGAGGAATGTACTTTTTGCTGTTCCTGTGAAAATCTGGCCAATTCTGGGCAAGTTAAAAGCCTCTGGAAAAAAAAATCACACTTCACACTTGCTCAGTAGCAACCTTCTTTAGGTTTGGCTCTTTTGAGGAATATAGCTACTATTCACACTGAGTTTGCCTCAGCCCACAGCTGAGCAAGACTTTCCTTGGGATGTGTCAGATTCAGGTACAGGAACCTGATCTCAGAGCAAAGAAGAGAAAAGCTGCTAGGAAAAAAGTGACTGGAGAAGGAAGCTACATCATTTGAATGTAGAAAGGATAAGAGCTTCACTGGCAAATGAGATTAAAGAGAGTAGATTGTGACAAGGAAATGGGAAGGAGGAAATGGGACTGGAGCATGGTGGGAAGGAGAGTGAAATTGGGACTGGGTTGGGGAAAGATTGGGACTAGGCAGGATACATATAGAGAATGGGACTTGGAGCAACTGCAACAGGGAGCCAGAGGAGGAAATGAGGCAGAGACTCAGTGCTAGCCAGTGAGGGAGACTGGGACTAAGAGCAAGTAAGGTGGGGAAAAAAAAGAAGGGTAAAAGGTAAGGGGAGAGCAAGTTGGCAAAGAACTAGAGGTAGGTGGGGGAACTAGATGCGACTTGGTGAGTAATGAATAGCAGGTGACACTGAGATTGAATATGAAGCTCAGGAGGGAATTTGAGACAGGAGACAGAGAACAGAGACAAAGGAGGAGAACTGGGGACCAGGGTTAGTGGAGTAATAGCTTAGATGGGTGCTGAGAAGTGGAATTAGCTGGGAAGCAGCACTGCAGCCTGGGACAAGGAGTACAGAGTGATAAAACTAGGATCTGTTTGATAAGAAGACTGGGTGTAGGATGAGACCCCTGTGAAAGAGAGACTGGGACTCCCTAAATGAATGAAATGGGACTGGGGCAAGGAGACAAAGATCAGGAAGTGAAGAGCGGGACAAGGACTAGTTGGAAGAGGCAAAGCAAAAAGGGTTACGTTTAGGGTAGGGAAGAATGTCTGTGCCCACTGATGTATCCTGCCAGAAGGTGGAATAGAAAGCATGTTCCTGAGTCTCACCATCTCTCAGATCAGCAAACCTCTCTAAAATCCACTAGCAAATTCTCTCATTTTTCTGGTCCATGTAGATGATCTACTACTGCTATGAGCTACTTTGTTAGATTATGTGACAGAGGTCTGTGCATTGGTTCTGAAAGTTCCAACCCTGCTGTGATGACCCATATCTATGTCAAGTTATGTCAAGTAACATTTATGTAATGTTACATGAAGGACTTTGTTTTATTGATTGATTTTTTTAAATGTCTGAAGTTACATGTGCATGTTCATGCATGCACATGCATGTCATAGGAACATTAAAAGGTTTGCAAAGTCAAACATTCAAAAGCTAGGAAGGCCCTGAATTCAGGTTGCCTTTACAACCTTAATTAAGCCTACTTCTTCATAGGTGTTACAATAGAGTCTGAAATTGTGTGCTCACATACAATGTTTTCCACACGGCCCCTGCACCATTCATTGCAAAGGATTGCTTACTTGGGGGCTGAAGGAGTTGTGTATAATGAAAGGGGCTATCTGAAGGGCCCCTATGTAGTTGAAAAGTGTGTAGTAACTAAATCATGGGATTGCAGGAAGTGAGAGGATCTCACTGTTAAACTAGCTGAATGATGCCCTGGAGAATTAGATTCTATCCACACTGCTGCTGCAGAGTTCCTGTGTGTGGTACTACCACATCACTTGAAACAAATGTTCACGTGATCTAATTGGGTGTTCCTAATTTTTTAGGGGGTCTGCCTTGAGATCATGGGGTCTTACTTAGTTTTTTCAAGGTAACATATATATAGAAAATATGCAGTTAGTACTTACTGAGAGACTAGATAGCTCAGAGCGACATTATTTTGCTAGAGAATCTTTTTTCCTATCGGTCATGAGTTTGAATCCAGTGCAGGTTAACAGGAAATAAAGTTGTTTCCCTTTAATGCACTATTGGTAGTTCCTGTATGAGACGAGTGTGCTTGAATTAATGCACTGAATTAATTTGAGAGACTTGGCAAAGAAGCCAGTAATAGAGTGAGAATGGAGATTGTGCTGTCTCTCATAGAGGAAGTCTCCTCTCCTGGCACCAAATGAGGTCAGAGGCATGCTAGCAGTGTTTTCCCATATCTCCCATATGTTAGAAGTTCTTTTGCCCTTTCAGCTCCAGTTGTGGCACAGCAGCTAGTGTCAACTGACTTTCCACTCATGTGCCTCCCTTTCCAGGAGGAGCGTGAGTGAAGGGAAGGTAGACCAAGAAGGGCTACAGCTGATTCAGTTCTTCTGTCCTGCTTTAGAGTTACCTGAGAGACCTAATGCAAGAGGAACTTGTGCATATGCCACAGTCCTTTCTGGCTTGGCTGTGTAGCAGGCACATAGGGCATTTTTACCTGGAAGTATTATCACCCAATTGAGAAGAACTGAGGTAAGCTGAGGCAGTATTTTAGCAGTAAGACCCATTACTCTAGGAATACAGACTTTCTACTCTCCTTGTAACACATGCATTGCTTCCTGTCTCCTTGAAGAACACATAGTCCAAAACAGTCTTTTATTTCCCTCTCATAAATCACTTTTAGTGACTACCAAACTCACTAGCTAATAATAATATTATTTAGATTAATCAAAATACTTGTAATAGGCAAATAGGTTACCACCAGTTGCACAATTCCACAGCCCGACAAGTCTAACAATCAGTTTTTATGTTTTAAAGAGGTAAGGATTTTTTGGGGGTGATATCTTTTATTGGACCAACCGTATGGTTGAGATAAAAGCTAGACAAGCTTTTGAATGCATGGCATTTTAAAGAACATGCAAGGCATTTTCCATTGGCTTTCCTGCATCTGTAAAAAAGTCTTTAAAAATGTCAAGGAGAAATAGAATAAAAGGAAGGTTTCTGTATTTAAATGTTACAACATAAAAAGTATAAAAAGATAGCACAGACAAACATGCATACATCTTTAGCAGGGTTTGTGGATGCTGCTAGTGTAACTTCACTGTCATTGCTATATTCCATTGTCATCAGAACTGTACATTTAAGCAGGAGATCTATACAAAGAGACATTACCCGCTATTAGATTTTCTTCTTTCAAAATGCCAGTTTTAAAAATCACTTCCCTCTAAATATAAAACTCTTTTCTGTTTGGTTATGATATATCCTTGTACTTCACTCTCACCCAGAAAGTAAGCCAGTAATTCACAAAATAAGCAGTAGTGGTACAGCATTGCTCTAAAAGTACCTTAGTGCACACTTCTCATTTCAAATAATACTTTGAACAAGTGTTAAAGCATTTGTATTTAATACAGTGGGAAGATAATACCTAGTTTCTTGAGCAGGAACTTCATGATTAGATAAACCATGTAATCCCTGCCTCAATTTCCTCATCTCTAAAATGGATTTCATAGTTTTTTCTAAGGAGATTGCAAAATTAAATTCATTAAATATTGGATAAGTGTATAAGAATGTGCTGTCAGACTCACCCTGGGCCAGATCCAGGCCTTGAGGCCAGATCCGCAGGACCAGCAGCTGCAACAGCTACAGGTCTGGCAGTGGCAGTACAGGTTCAGTGGCAGGGCCAAGTGGCCACAGGGCAAGGAGGGCTGTGTCAGAACAGCCCTTGCTTGCTCTCCCCGCTCCCTCTGCCTCCAGTGGCTTTATCCAGTGAGGCTCAGGGCCCCAGCTTTGCAGCAGGCTCCACTCCCCTGCTGGCTCTGCCCCCAACTTTTGGTAGCCTGACAGGCTGGATAGAGCAGTATTGCAGGCTATATGTTGACAACCCTGTGCCATAGAAATGCAGAGTACTATCATTGTTAATTATTAAGATCTGGCAGTCAAGTATGGGAATAGAAAACTCTTTAAGCTTCTAGTGTGGTATTACAATTAATTTGACTTTTCTTCTTCAATTATGTATTGTTTCTTTTTTCAGATTCAGCCACTATTTATGTATATAGCATTGGAGATAGAAAACATATTTATATTGTAATAACATGTCCATTAAAGGGATCGGTCTTACTGTTGATATTCAGGAAACCTTTACTTTTAAGAAATGAAGGATTGGGACAACAGTTTAGCAATCTTGAATGTTCACTCAGGAAATGTTCATGACAAACATTTTAATCCAGTCTGCAGAATCACAGTATGTTGTAGGATATCATTAGCAATGCACAGGACTGCTTGGGTATCAATCTGAGAAACTTCCTAAAAATTAATTGACATGTGAGAGTAAATGTTGGTCAGCAGGGAATAGGCATACATTTTGAAATATGCTATTTAAAGTAAATTAAATTAAAATTATTCTCTTTCTCTCTCTCCTCTCGCTCTCTCTCTCTTTCTCTCTCTTTCTCCCTGCTCCCTCCCCTCTGAAAATCTCCTGCCACAGCGACTGCATTTGCCTCCAGACTTGTCAGACACAGTGAGCCGCTCAAGCAAACAGGATCTGGCAGAATCCGCCAAACTGCTGAGCTCAGGATGTGGTGCTATGGCCATGGGCAAGAAGCACCTGGACTTCTAGTGATTTCTACTTAGCAGTTTCACTCAGATTTATATGACACTCTAATTATGACTGCTAATGACTTATATAAATATTTTTCTTAATGATTTGACCCAGCAGTCCTTAAAAATGCACATTATAAGATAGTGCCTCATTTTCTCATTCTAATTTCTTTGGACACATTTGCAGATTTTGGCTTTGGGTTTGTTTGGGTTTTTAAAAAATATTTACAACATAGGTTTTGTTACATTAGCAAATGATGACTTTACTCCCAACTGAAATAGAATAGTACATTTGTTCTTGTCACAAAAAATCAGAATTTCTTTTGCTGTTAAATTTCAAGATGTATTACCAAACAAAGCCAACTGTGATGTGTTATCCAAGTAAATTAACCTGTTTAATAGGATTTGTATCAAGCATATAATATAAATGTGAAATATAATTTTCTTTAATGAACATAAATGGAGGTAAGGCAGTCATTATTAAATGTTGTTGTTTAAAAGGCAAGTGTCAATTATTATTTTTAAAAAGCTCATTTTGTATATTTGAAAATATAATTGTTAAAACTAAAAATGGATTACATTATTTTATCAAATATGTAACAGTGCTTAGAAATAATGCTTTAGAGGATTTCATGTGTTTTAATATGTCAATAATTAAATTGATGAAGAAAGAATTTCTCCATAGTAAGAATACATTATAGATAATTAGTTTGCCTTATGGGTTAATAAATATATTAAAATGCACTTGAGTGGAATTTACTAAACATAGAAAAAAGAATTGATTTCCTTATGTGGTTCAAAACAGTAATCCTAAACAATTGAAGTCAGCACTATGAAATTATGTCAACAGACATAATTCAAGATTGAAATTCAAACTGACAGCTACATTAATGCTAGAAAACCAGAAGAGTGCATTGGAGCTTGGGGAAGAGCATCACCGAATGCTTGTCTAAAACAGAGCAGAAATAAAACTAATTCAAGTTTCCATGCCATCATATACACTATTTGTGAATTTATGAATATTTTCAGGATTTGTGCACGCGCGTGTGTGTGTGTGTGTGTGTGTGTGTATACACACACACACATATCTCCAAATAGAAAACTATTACATATTTTTAAACATCTCCTATATATGACTTCATATTTGGAATACTAGGCAGTGTTGACATGTAAATTAAACTATTTTGTATTATTTATTATGAAGCTGATGTCCAGTTTAAAAGGTAGTATATTGTCCTCCATGGAACTTCCAAATCAACCATCTCAAAGATTATATTACAGTTTCAACACTCAGTCTTTATAATAGGATATAATATGGATATATTGGAAATTGACTCTTCAAAGAACATTTTAATCTAATGCAATAATAATGTATTTTGATGGGGTTGAAACCAAAAGTTGGTTAAATGGTTTGGTTTTCTTATGCAATCCAGGTTTTACTTTATTTTTTTCTTGACAACTCAGTGTGTAAAACAAAGACATAGCTTTTAAAACTGTCTAACTAATATGATGAATGTCAATCACTTAAAAAACTCCACTGTAGCATAAACACATACTGTATACAGCTTTTATTCTGAATTAGAATAATTGAATCAATGACAGTGATTTGCCAGGATGTCAAATCTATCCATCATATCCTGTCACTACCAGTTTATTTTTTGTGATCAAAATCAAAAAGACTACTATTTTGTCATCAGCTATTTCATTAGTGGTAACAATCAGTTTTTTTCTTCTTTTTTTTTAAATATACCTGTTTTATTTTTTATTTCTAAAGACGCAAATCCTTTTTTGATCTTTTCAAAATAAAGTTTCAGTACTGAACTGTCAGTTTTACAAAGCTAAAAGATGTCTACATTCTTATGCCAATATATTTAAAACTTCATCATTGATTTCAAAAGCATCATTTCTCTTTTTGCAGTCTATACAACTGTTAGCAGAAATTATCAAATACTTAACTGTGACTTCTGAAAGTATTAAGTAATTTAAATATCTGAGTTCAAGTAATTTTAACAAAATTAACATTTTACTTAATTTTTTACTTTTTTATATAAATAAGCAACAGGAAATATAGTATGTGCCTTTCAAATGTAAACTCAGGATAGGCAAATTGTTTGTCAGCATACTGAATAGGTCATTGATTTATCACACAGGTGGAAAATGTCACTCAAATTCACAACCAATCACTAGTTACATGTTACTTGAAAATTGGTAATTAGTACTATATGTTTGAGTGGAGATATATATATATGAAACATATAGTACTAAATACCAATTTTCGAGTAACATTATATATCTCAAAATACTGTGCATCTGTAAGACATTAATTTCAAATGACTAAATAGATTAGCATAGAAACTAAAAATGTTTTTTGAATAAAAGTGAAAGTAGAAATCCCACAGAAAATCTTGATTTTTTCCACTTTTTTTTTGATTCACTTAAACATGCTATTTAAAATAAGTATTACAGCATCCAGATTTACATTGGTGTTCACCTGAGGCAAAAACATGTACTAAAATTTTCTTCTCTTTTCCTCCAAAATACTATATCAGCAATAACAGTAAATTACAATGATATGGTTTATACAGCAAAAATGATAAGTAAAATACTATTACATACATGTTGATTGCTAGTATGTAAGATGTAATGTTCCTGTGAATGAGGTCTTTTGATACAATCTCAATTTTAGTTTGAGGTATGAAATAAAATATGTTAATATAATGATAATACTCCAGGAGATTTTCCCATCCCCAACATTTTATCTGGCATATAAATCCCTCTATAAATAATTATACTGGATCTTACTTCTTTTTTTTTTTCTTGCTGCCGATAAATATTTTAGATTAAAGAACACATATCAAATACTCAGGCTGAAGAACACTGTTTCTTCATAGGTGGCTAGGGGATATATAGTAGTGCACTTCACACACCCTTCTCCAGATCCTCAACCTGGGCTTGATGGAAATCCTGTCCAAGAATTAAATAAATCCAGATTTCTGTTCATACAGTTCTTTTGTGTTTCTGAGCAGATATAATAAATAGGTTGCCAAGTTTAGGATATTGTTTGTTAACTGTTTTAAAGCTGAGCTGAAGCCACCAAACTTGTTACTGGTATGAGATGTACGATGCATCAGCAGAGGCACAATAGATTCTTTTCATTGAATAGGTTCTTAATTCAAATTTATATCCAGATCTTTACATAACAATGAAGTAGAGTCAAGAAAGTAGATATCAAATTTAAAAATTGGTACCTAAAATAAGATTCTTTATGGAAGAGATTTTGTACTGAGCTTTCAGAATACAGGTATGTACAATGTAATAAGAATGTGATTATGTATTAAACTATAAGCTTTTTAGAAATGCATTTGTAAAGGCGTTTAAAAAGCAGCTTGGAGGATACAGCCAATTCCAATTTTAGGAAATGAGAGCTACTAGCATCTAAAATGGGCATTCATTTACTTCAGATTTTATGCATTTTGTAGTACAGACAATAGTAACTAAGAATTCATCTTAAATTTTAATTTGAAATTAATGTTCTTCCAGACATGACTTTGAGAAAACTATAGAGGGCTTAAACTATAAATACCCTGTATCATTCTGGGGTTAAAAACAGACCATGGCACTGGTAAAACCCTAATACAGAATAAGTTAAATAAAAATTTTAATCTGTAGTTATAGTAGTGTTTCTCCATGATTAGTTACTAGAAACTGTGTATAATTTTATTAATGGTTTCTTATCCTAGACCAACATTATGCGTAATTTTGTAGCACACGAAAAATAGAAAATAAGCTATTTTTGCTTTTTTACAAGACTTAGAAGTAAAAAGTATACCATGTGAATCCTATCAGCATATTTTATACTTTTCTGTATGAGCTGTATTAGCACAGGGCCCAAAAGTCTCTTTGTTTAGTATCATACTGAGCACATTGATTGATGCTTAATAAATAATAAATGGGTTATCCTCCAAAAAAGCAAAAAAAAAAAGAAAAAAAGAGAATATTTTTATTCAGATTTCAAAAGCTCATAAAATACAACCAAAAAAAATTAAAAGCTGTTTCAGTTTAAAACCTAATTAGGAAAATATATAAGGCTAAATTTTTCAACATAGTTAAAATCTGCTTACTATTTTAGGTACCCAAGTCTGAAAACGTTTTATAAACCTAATTAGTTGCAGACATTACTTTGCAGAGTTCCGTTTGCAGATGTTATATTAATAAAGATCCATAAGTGGACATCTCTTTGTGCCCAAGAAATGTATTGACAAAAGAAAGTCTTAGCATGTAGTCTTTAATCTAGAAAATCTCCCACAGTGGACCAGATATAATCTAGATATGCTTCATTTCTTTTCTTTTTTATAAAGAGGTAAAGGAAGTTCCAGTTAACATATATTTTACCAATCAGTAAGCCAGTGGCTCTAGCCATATTGTTCGAATATTAACATTTATCACCCGTACTATCAATACAATTGTATATTATTTCCTTTGTAAATAAGTAATAACTCCAACCTCATGAAAGTCCTGTGTATTACTCCCATGTACAGGCTGGGAACCAACTGGCAGCTCTGCAGAAAAGGACCTGGAGGTTACAGTGGACAATAAACTGAATATGAGCCAGCAGTGTGCCCTCGTTGTGCAGCAGGCTAATGGCATATGGGCTGCATTAGTATGAGTGTTGCCAGCAGGTTGAGGAGAGTGGCACTGGTGGGGCCACAGCTGGAGTAATAAGTCCAGTTTTGGGCCCCCCACAAAAGAAAAGGACATGAACCTGGTGAGTCCTGAGGAGGGCAATGAATATGGTTAGAGGGCTGGAGCACATGATTTATGAAAGAGGCTGAGGGAACTAGGCTTATTTAATCTGCAGAAGAGAATACTGGGCATGTCTACACATCGCCGTATGGTGACGACTTTATTGCGTTGTACTTTAGTACTTCCTTTTGGAGTACTAAAACATGGTGCAGTAACTGCCCATACTGCACCATACAGGTGGCTCACACTTAAATTTCCTAGCTATGTCTCCATAGCAGCATGCTATAAGCAGGGAGTGCGCTGCTACAGCAATGTAGCTAGCGATCACATGTAGACCCGCGTGATTGCCACATCGCTGTAGCATGCCATATGTCACCATAGCATGTTGCTACATCGCCATAGGGCAACGTGTAGACATGCCCACTGAGAGGAAATTTAATAGCAGCCTTCAACTACCTGAAGGATGGTTACAAAGAGGATGGAGCTAGACTGTTCTTAGTGGTGGCAGGTGACAGAACAAGTTGCAGCAAGGGAAGTTTAGGTTAGATATTAGGAAAAACTTTCTTACTAGGAAGGTAGTAAAGCACTGGAACAGGCTACCGAGGGCATGTCTACACAAGACATTTACTGCAGAGCTTATATTTACAAGTTCTACCCTGCTGTAGAGTTTTTTCTTGCACAGCAGTTCATGTGTAGACACTGACCTGGCTGACTGAAGCACAAGAGTGCTTCAATGTGGGGACTGCCTGCCTCATGTCCCAGCCAGCCCCTCTGCAGCATGTTGAGCCAGGTCAGAGCAGGCTGCCCCCCCCCCCCCAAGATGCTGCCAGCCAGGGCTGCTCTGACCCAGCTCAGTATGCTGTGGTCTGGGTGCATGTGTAAACAGCGTGCCCGGGAGCTTCCTTGGGACATTAAACTCCAAAATAATAAGCTCCAGAGTTTATTACTGTGCTTTAATGGCACATGTAGACATGCCCCCAGAGAGGTTGTGGAATCTCCATCCTTGTTGGTTTTTAAAACCTGGCTAGACAAAGTTTTGGCTGGGATGATATAGTTGGGGATGGTCCTTCTTTGATTAGGGGATTAGACTAGATGACCTCCCAAGGTTCCTTCCAAACCTAATTTTCTATATTTGCCCACATAACAAAAGTAATTACACACACACACAGAGAAAACAGTGACAGTTCTAACTGAGAACAAATTGATATTCTCAGGCCATGTATTCTATGAAGATAAGTCATCCTTGTGGAAGCTTGACCTTCAAAGAACAGATCAGGGAATCCATGTATAAATTATTTTTCCCAGTAATGATCTAGCCTATAAAAATTACTTAGAAATTACTGGGCAAATCTTCACATACACCTGGCTGTGCACTCCCTGCTTATAGCATGCTGCTATGGAGACTAAATGCTTGCAAAGTAACCGCCAGTATTGTGCAGTCCCAGTGCCACATGGGTTGTTTCCAACCCTACTGCACTGTAGTGGTGGCATCACGGTTTGTGCCTGCTGATGCTATGTCACCATAGCTTGTTGCTAGGACAACATAGCATCTTGTGTAGACATGTCCACTTAGTCCTAGAAACTGAGTTTAAGCTTCTAAAATATTAGCAACTCTGATAAGTTGAATTTTTGGCCATATGTTCCCTTCATAAAGAGCAGCACTATCTTCTACCATAGAAGGTAAAGGTCAAATCCAAGTTTTAGTAAAAGCCTAAGGAAAATTCCCATTCAAATTACACTTTTATTTACTTTATTGTATCATCTGGGAGCCCTAGTCATACAGCAAGACCCCATTGTGCTAAGCAAAGTTCTTGGCTCTGAATTGGACCTGCATTTAGTATATGTGTACATGGAGCCTCTTGCCTGTTTTAAATCAATAGGGTTCTGTACAAATAATAGTATCTATAATAGTATCCGTACAGTAAGTTCTATAATAGTATCAGGTCCTTAAGTGAGATCAGGGCCATGCTGAACCTAAAGCGTAATGAGAGAAAAACTGATCCTTTATCACTAGATTCCTGACTTGGTTCAAGTCATGAGGATCAATTCCCTCTTTGGCCCTATTCATCATCCATATGCAACCAGTCCGTGAACTGGCAGTTAGGTGAATTCACACGTCAGCAATTTGCAGAATACATTCAGGTCTTTTACAATGCACCTCTCTTTCATCACCTATGAACAAATCACAACTATAAAGATGGCCCTGTTACTTGGACAAGATCAACTAATAGCTAAGCCTGAACCCAAACAAGACAGACTTGATACTGATATGGAGAGGAAACCATCTTGAAGAGGATGGAGCCCCACAGTGCAATCTCCTTTGGTGGTGTCTCCTGTCCTGCACACTGGATACCTAAAAGACTGTCTAAAGCTATAGGGATGGAGTCTGTGGACAACACCAAACTCCTTTGGCACAATGGAATGACAAGGGTGAACTTATCTGTGTGGGAGCCAGAGGAGAGTAATTGTGCAATGAACTGCCCCAGGAACAAAGGGACCACCACAAACCTTACTACTCTGCTGAAAGTACAAGGTACAGTTATTTGACCTCCTTCTATTACATAAATACATAGCAGCATGTTGACTTAGGACAAACAAGCAAACAAAACCCTATGAAAACAAAACATTCTATAGCACACACTTCTCCCCCTAGGGAGAGGATGAAAGAACAAACATGTGAGCTAAGTCATGTTGCTTAATGGAAGGCACGTGGATACTACCGTGATCCGCATGAATAGAATAGAATAGAATAGAACAGAATTTAATAATGGCCCAATTCTGCAGTCCTTGCTCCCTAAATACATACTCTGGTGTAATTCAGGAATAATTCATCTATAGAGAGAAGAATCAGGCCCAATAAGATAT